AAAAATTAGCTGGGCGTGGTGGCGCAGGCCTATAGTCCCAGCTACTCGGGAGGCTAAGGCAGGAGAATCGCCAGGGGGTTGCAGTGAGCGGAGATCACATCACTGCACTCCAGTCAGGTGACAGAGTGAGACTCCATTTTATAAATAAATAAATTATTTAATTAATTTTGGGGCCTTCTATGAAATAACCAATGGATATTTGTTAAGTATGTATTGTCCAGCATTCTTCTCCTTTCTTCAAACACTCTATTTTTCCTTTAGGGGACCGCCTGTCTCTCCAGTCTATGCAGTCACGTTTCTTTAGTAGTTTCCGTTGTTAACAACCCCAAATCCCTAGCTTGATGAAGACCTGTGTAAATGGCCATTGTGGTTATCTAGCCAGCATCATTCTCCCAGCTATTCCCACTTCTGAAAGCACTTAGAGTTTTGAGGATCTGAGAAGGAAACTGACTCCATTCCAGGTCCTGAAATGATCCCCAATTGTGACTTATACTAATCAACACCTTTTATTCTAGATCATGGTCATTGGATCAGGGATAAGCATGTGACTTAAGTGGGCCAGCTAGTGGGAATCAGGATTCTTGCTCAGAATGCTAGGCAACTCAAGGAAACATTTACTGGTTTATCATAAAGTGTATTACAAAGGATATAGACGAAAAGATCTAAAGGGCAAGGTATGGAGGAAGGGATTTCTGGAAGTGAGCAAGAAAGCACACAGCCCTCATTGCTGCTTCTAGTGCCACTGAAGGTAGCAGCTTGACATTGAAGGCTAGTATAGCAGAAGGCAGAAGAGAGGCCTGGAAAGGGCTCCAGGACTTAATGGCATTGCGGAGCCTCTGCATGCCTATATCAGCACTTTTCTTACATGAACAATGGAGCTCCTTCCCAAATGCATTCTAAATGCTGTTTACTGTCAAAAGCATACCGTGCAGAAAAAACAAACTATGGCTGGGCATGGCAGCTCACACCTGCAATCCCACCACTTTGGGAGGTCAAGGCAGGTGTATCCCTTGAGCCAAGGAGTTTAAGATCAGACTGGGTGAACCCAATCTCTACAGAAAATACAAAAAAATTAGTCTAATATGGTAGTATGTGCCTCTAGTACAAGCTACTTAGGAGGCTGAGGCAGGAGGATCACCTGAGCTTGGAGGTCAAGGCTGTGGTGAGCCATGGCTGTGCACTCCAGCCCAGCATTAAAGTGACACCCTGTCTCAATAAAAACAAAAAATGGGCTGGGCGCAATGGCTCATGCCTGTAATCCTAGCACTTCGGGAGCCACAGCAAGGTGGATTGCCTCAGCTCAGGAGTTCAAGACCCTCCTGGGCAACGTGGTGAAACCCCATCTCTACTAAAATACAAAGAATTAGCCAGTTGTGGTGGTGGGTGCCTATAATCCCAGCTACTCAGGAGGCTGAGACATAAGAATTGATTGAACCTGAGAGTGTTGCAGTGAGCTGAGATCACGCCACTACACTCCAGCCTGGGCAATACAGCCGAGGGTCTGTTGAAAAAAAAAAAAAAAAACACACAGAAAACAAAAAAAGACCCAATTTTTCCTCTGCCCTCACACCACAGCAATCAACACAGAAGACTTCTGTGACCGCATGTATGAGGATATTACCCGACCACCAAGCAAGCAATCAGTTCTGCAGCAGACATCAGCTGGGTGTCTTCCAATACAATTCTGACATTATCTACCTGGAGAGAGCATCAGATCCCACAGGTTGAGCATTCAGTCCCACAAGACTGCCCCTCACTTTGGATGCCAACCACAAGAGTCAGTTTGTTTTACCTGTATTCATGACCAACTGGGTATAAATTGGGGTTCCGGTCAGGCGTGGTGGCTCACACCTGTAATCCAAGCACTTTGAAGGCTAAGGTGGGCAGATCACCTGAGGTTGGGAGTTCAAGACCAGCCTGACCAACATAGTGAAACCTTGTCTTTAACAAAATAAATAAATAAATAATGGGGGTTCCAACTATGTTCAATAAATTTGCTAGAGAGGCTCACAGAACTCAGGGAAACATATTTAATGGTTTATTATAAAGGATATTACAAAGGATACAGATGAAGAGCTGCACAGGGCAAAGCATGTGGGAGGGACCCAGAGCTTCCATGCCCTTCCGAGGTGTGCCGCCCTCCAGGATTCTCCATGGGTTCAGCTATCAGGAAGCTCTCCCTAACCCATCCTCTTGGGTCTTTTACGGAGACTTCATTGAACAGGTGTGATTGAAGCATGGACGACTGTGTAGAAATGTGATTGGACAAAGAGGGTATGATCTAGTACTAATAGGCTGAGTGGCAAAACCTGGCAAGGCCTGTCTAGATTCTTCTTGGCTTCTCTGTGCAGTATTCTTCCCACCTTCTGAACTAGGGTCTTATGACCTATAATCAGACAAGACTGGTCAAAGAATTTCTTTATGGCCAGCTTCATAACAGAAAGAAAAGAGGGAAGATAAGAGTGTGTGTATATATATATATATTTATATAAAAAAATATATATTTTTTTTTATAAAGACGGGGTTTCACCATGTTGGTCAGGCTGGTCTTGAACTCCTGACCTCAGGTGATCCACCTGCCTTGGCCTCCAAAGTGCTTGGATTACAGGCGTGAGCCACCACACCCGGCCTATATATATATTTTTTTTTGAGACGGACTCTTGCTCAATTGCCCAGGCTGGAATGCAGTGGCACAATCTCAGCTCACTGCAAACTCTGCCTCCTGGATTCAAGCAATTCTGCCTCAGCCTCCTGAGTAGTTGGGACTACAGGCGTGCGCCATCACATTCGGACAATTTTTGCATTTTTTTTTTTTTTTTTTTGAGACGGAGTTTCGCTCTTGTTACCCAGGCTGGAGTGCAATGGTGCAATCTCAGCTTACCGCAACCTCCACCTCCTGGGTTCAGGCAATTCTCCTGCCTCAGCCTCCTGAGTAGCTGGGATTACAGGCATGCGCCACCATGCCCAGCTAATTTTTTGTATTTTTAGTAGAGGCGGGGTTTCACCATGTTGACCAGGATGGTCTCGATCTCTTGACCTCATGATTCACCCGCCTCGGCCTCCTAAAGTGCTGGGATTACAGGTGTGAGCCACCGCGCCTGGCTAATTTTTGCATTTTTAGTAGAGTCTGGTTTTTGCCATGTTGACCAGGCTGGTACTGAACTCCTGGCCTCAGGTAATCCACCTGCCTAGGCCTCCCAAAGTGCTCGAATTATAGGCATGAGCTATCGCGCTCAGCCTTCTTTTTAAAATTTTTTTGAGACAAGGTCTCTTTTGTCTGTGGCACACTCACTGCACAATCACTGCTCACTGAAGCCTCAGAACAAGTTTGGACTTGGTTACACTAATTTGCTTTTTTTTTGAGACAGAGTTTTGCTCTGTTCCCCAGGCTGGAGTGTAGTGGTGCAATCTGGGTTTACCACAACCTCCACCTCCCGGGTTCCAGAGCTTCTTCTGCCTCAGCCTCTTGAGTAGCTGGGACTACACAGGTGCACACCACCATGCCCTGTAAAAATGTTTGTATTATTAGTAGAGACTGGGTTTCACTATGTTGGCCAGCCTGGTCTCAAACTCCTGACCTTGCAATCTGCCTGCCTCGGCCTCCCAAAGTGCTGGGATTACAGGCCGGAGCCACTGTGCCCAGCCAATTCACTTCTTTAATCTATCAATTTACCTTTAACTACCCGAACATCAACATAGTGAAATATATCTCATCTATTTGCATTGCTATAGTCTTTTGGATGGAGAGGAGGGAGCAGGCAGAGATGGGTGTTTGTCAAGGGGACTTAAGCTTTGCCTTTAATGTTCTAATCTTTTAGAAAGTAATGGAGTCATGGAAATTTTTTTCAGGATTAAATATTAATAACAAATAATCTCTAAAAAGATAATGTGGTAGCAGAAGGCACAAGCTTGTGCTAGGAAGCAGTCTTTTTTTTTTTTTTCTTTTTGTGACAGTTTTGCTCTTGTTGCCCAGGCTGGAGTGCAATGGCGTGACTTCGGCTCCCCGCAACCTCCACCTCCCAGGTTCAATCGATTCTGCTGCCTCAGCCTCCCAGCTAAATTTTGTGTTTTTAGTTGAGGCGGGGTTTCACCATCTTGGCCAGGGTGGTCTTGAACTCCTGCCCTGTGATCCACCTGCCTTGGCCTTCCAAAATGCTGGGATTACAGGTGTAAACCACCGCACCGGGCCTGATTATTTTTAATGAAATAAAAGACACACAGGTGCATTGGCGTGATCTCGGCTCACTGCAACCTCCGCCTCCCAAGTTCAACTCCTGCCTCGGCCCCCTGAGTAGCTGGGACTACAGGCATGCGCCACCACACCCAGCTAATTTTTTGTAATTTAGTAGAGATGGGGTTTCATCATATTGGTCAGTCTGGTCTCAAACTCCTGACCTCAGGTGATATGCCCACCTTGGCCTCCCAAAGTGCTGGGATTACGGGCGTGAGCCACTGCACTGGGCCCAAATTTTTCATTTAAAAAAAATTTTTAGTAGAGACAAGGTCTCATTATGTTGCCCCGGCTGGTCTCGAACTCCTGAGTTCAAGTGATCCTCCCATATCAGCATTCCAAACTGCTGAGATTACAGGTGTGAGCCACTAGGCTGACTCCAGGTGGATCACCAGAAGTCAGGAGTTCCAGACCAGGCTGTCCAACATAGTGGAACCCTGTCTCTAATGAAAATACAAAAACTAACTCGGTTTGATGGCGGTCACCTGTAATCCCAGCTACTCAGGAGGCTGAAAATCACTTGAGCTTGGGAGGCAGAGGTTGCAGTGAACCGAGATGGTGCCACTGTACTCTAGCCTGGGTGACAGAGCGAGACTTCATCTCTAAAATAAAAATAAAATAAAATAAAAATTTGGAGAAATATATGGCATATAAATTGGTAGTGTCATCTGTATTCTTACTGTCCAAAGACAATCATTATCAATTATACTACATGGTGCCAAAACTAGTTTTTTTGTAAGCTACCATTTTGATCCTAGTGTTTTAACCAATGGAGAGGATTGACAGCACCTTGAAGTGCACAAGCCGAAGTTTGTTACAGATACAGTAATATGTTATAGGTAACATAAAAATTGCAAAAAGGGTGATTCAGAAAAATTCAACTTGGTAGACAAAAATCAGTGCAGGCTGGGCACAGAGGCTCAGACCTGTAATCCCAGCACTTTGAGAGGCCGAGGTGGGCGGATCATGAGGTCAGGAGATCAAGACTATCCTGGTCAACATGGTGAAACCCCATCTCTACTAAAAATACAAAAATTAGCTGGGCATGGGGGTGCACGCCTGTAATCCCAGCTACGCAGGAGGCTGAGGCAGGAGAATTGCTTGAACCCAAGAGGCAGAGGTTGCAGTGAGCCAAGAGTGTGTCACTGTACTGTAGCCTGAGTGACGGAGCAAGACTGCGTCTTAAAAAAAAAAAAAAAAAAAAAAGCCGGGCATGCTGGCTCAGGTCTATAATCCCAGAACTTTGGGAGGCCGCGGAGGGTGGATCACGAGGTCAAGAGATCGAGACCATCCTGCTCAACAAGGTGAAACCCCGTTTCTACTAAAAATACAAAAATTAGCTGTGCATGGTGGTGCGTGCCTGTAGTCCCAGCTACTCGGGAGGCTGAGGCAGGAGAATTGCTTGAATCCAGGAGGCAGAGGTTGCGGTGAGCCGAGATCGTGCCATCGCACTCCAGTCTGGGTAACAAGAGCGAAACTCCGTCTCAAAAAAAAAAAAAAAAAAATCAGTGCAAAATAATCAAACAGCAATTAAAACTGAATGTGGTCAAATTAGTTACTGAGGAAAGTTAACAGAAGTATTAAGTCTAGAAAAAATTTAGAGAAGCTAACTTTGACCTGGGAAAACCAGACTTAGAAATAGTGGCTAGAAAAAGCTTTTTAAATGACAAAACATCATGATAAAGATTTAGTATGATCAAAATTAAATTTAAACTTTACTGGGGCTGGGAGTGCAGTGCCTCACACCTGTAATCCCAGCACTTTGGGAGGCTGAGGCAGGCAGATCACCTGAGGTCAGGAGTTCAAGACTAGTCTGGCTGAAGCCAGGTGTGGTGGCTCACACCTGGAATCCCAGCACTTTGGGAGGCTGAGGTGGGCGGATCACCTGAGGTCAGGATTTCAAGACTAGCCTGGCTAACATGGTAAAACCCCGTCTCTACTAAAAATAAAAAAATTAGCCAGGCGTGGTGGTGCACGCCTGTAATCCCAGCTACTTGGGAGGCTGAGGCAGGAGAATAGCATTAGCCTGGCAGGCAGAGGTTGTAGTGAGCTGAGATTGCACCGCTGTACTCCAGCCTTGGTGACAAAGTGAGACTTTGTCTTTTTTTTTTTTAATTTAGAGCTACTGGAAATCAAAGACTTTGTCTTTTAAAAAACAAACAAAAATGTTTGGGAAATTTGAAATAATTTCACTAAAATAAAAATGGAAGAAATTGAGTTATTGAGTTAATTGATTTATGGTCATTATTATTATTTTGACTTTCATATCTTGGAACGATGTATAAACATTCTGTGTTCATATAGCTCTTTCTCATTCTTTTAAATGACTGTTTATTATTTCATTGCAAGAATCTACAATAATTTATTCTAACTTAAAAACTGTTCTGTTTTCCAGAATATGCTTTTAAGGCTATTAACCAGGGTGGCCTTACATCAGTAGCTGTCAGAGGGAAAGACTGTGCAGTAATTGTCACGCAGAAGACAGTACCTGTAAGTAATGATGCCCAAATAGTCAGTAATTACAGAATATAAGAATTTTTCATGGGTTTGTAGAAAAGTATGTTTTTATATACAAATATTAACATGATTCTTGCTTTGACTCTGCTTTCCTGTCAGCCAAGAAGTGTCTATTGAACGTTTATGTACAGTTCAGCTGTGGAAACAGAATTAACATATTAAACTTCGTGGTGTGATTAGAAGCATCATGGGATTTCTAAGTCGAGTAAGCTATAGTTTGTCCACAGGAAAAGTTATCATCTGGAAAAGGAAAATAGCCAGGCGTGGCAGCATGCACCTGTAATTCCAGCTACTAGGGAGGCTGAGGCACGATAACCTCTTGAACCCAGGAGGCAGCGGTTGCAGTGAGCCGAAATCTGGAGTGCATTGCACTCCAGCCTGGGTGACAGAGTGCGACTCCGTCTGAAAAAAAAGGAAAGTAGAGCCTCTCAAAACCCACCACCACCCCAACCCACCCCGCTCCTTCTTTTTTTTTTTTTTTTTTTTTTGAGACGGAGTTTTGCTCATTGCCCAGGCTGGAGTGCAATGGCGAGGTCTCGGCTCACCGCAACCTCTGCCTCCCGGCTTCCAGTAATTCTCCTGCCTCAGACTTCTGAGTAGCTGGAATTACAGTCATGCGTCATGCATCACCACACCCAGCTAATTCGAAACCCTTTTAAAAAAATTGATTTCAACTATAAAATGATCAGAAGACATTTATTATATAGTTTATTTTTATGGTTCCACAGCATTATTTTCTCCAAGAAGCAGGGCAAGTGAAAAATAAAAACATGGGCCAGGCACGGTGTCTCATGCCTGTAATCCCGGCATTTTGGGAGGCTAAGGCGGGCGGATCACGAGATCAAGAGATCGAGACAATCCTGGCCAACGTGGTAAAACCCCGTCTCTACTAAAAATAAAAAAATTAGCTGGGTGTGGTGGCACACGCCTGTAATCCCAGCTACTCTGGAGGCTGAGGCAGGAGAATCGCTTGAATTTGGGAGGCGGAGGTTGCAGCGAGCTGAGGTTGCGCCACTGCACTCCATCCAGGTAACAGAGCAAGACTCCGTCTCAAAATAAATAAATAAAAACGTAATTTTATTTCATAGCTATACAGAAACCTATAAGTTTAAATATATATATATATATACACACACACACATATATATATATATTCATTTATTTTGTTCATTAGGACAAATTAATAGATTCCAGCACAGTGACTCACTTATTCAAGATAACTGAAAACATTGGTTGTGTGATGACCAGAAAGACAGGTAAAATTAGCTAGGTGTCTACATAGATATACAAGCCTTTTGTTTTCTTTAAATTATTTTGAGTTTTGTATTAATTTTAAACTTCTCTTATTGCCTGATTTTCAGGTGCCATGAGTGGATTTGCAGTCTTCTAAGACTATTATCAATATTTTAAGAGTATTGTGAGCATTTTTGAAATTATACATATAATTTATATATAATTATATGTATATATAACATAATTATTAAACATATAATTACATGTATATATATATAAAACAACAATAATGTTTAAAATTTTTATAATACATATAACAAATTTAAAAATTAGCTGGGGCTGGGCACAGTGGCTCACACCTTTAATCCCAGCACCTTGGGAGGCTGAGACAGGCAGATCACTTGAGTTTAGGAACTCGAGACCAGCCTGGCTAACATGGTGAAACTCCGTCTCTACTAAAAATACAGAAAAAGCCAGGCGCAGTGGCTCACACCTGTAATCCCAGCACTTTGGGTGGCCGAGGTGGTAGGATCATTTGAGGTCAGAAGTTCCAGACCAGCATGGCCAATGTGGTGAAACCCCCGTCTCTACTAAAAATACAAAAATTAGTTGGGCATGGTGGCGCACACCTGTAATCCCAGTTACTCAGGAGGCTGAGGCAGGAAATGCTTGAACCCAACAGGTGGAGGTTGCAGAGAGCCAAGATTGCACCACTGCATTCTAGCCTGGGCAACAGGCTAGACTGTCTCAAAAAGTAAAAATACAAAAAAATTTAGCTGGCTGTGGTGGTGGCTGCCTATAATCCCAGCTACTTGATAGGCTGAGGTAGGAGAATTGCTTGCACCCAGGAGGCAGAGGTTGCAGTAAGCCGAGATCGTGCCACTGTACTGCAGCCTGGGCAACAATAAGATGTGATCTGGAAAAACAAAAATGAGCTGGTATGGTAGTGCATGCATGTAGTCCTGCCTACTCAGGAGGCTAAAGTAGGAGGATCACTTGAGCCAAGGAATTCAAGGCTGCAGTGAGCTATGATGGCTCATTGGGTGCCATTCCAAGACCCCATCTCTAAAAAAATAAATGAAAAACTAAGCCTAAAAAATATTAAGAAAGATTATTCTCTCTCCTTAATGCTTTTCTTCTTCTTTGAGACAGAGTCTCACTTTGTTGCCCGGACTGCCTCCACCTCCTGGGTTCAAGCAATTCTCATGCCTCAACCTCCTGGGTAGTTGGGACTACAGGCATGCACCACCACGCCCAGCTAATTTTTGTATTTTTAGTAGAGACAGGCTTTTGCCATATTGGCCAGCCTAGTTTCGAATTCCTGGCCTTAAGTGATCTTCCTGTCTTGGCCTCCCAAAGGGTTGGGATTACAGGTGTGAGCCACCATGCCCAGCCTCCTTAATGCTTACTCTTTGGGGAGTTACTAGACACTTGTAGAAACTATTTTGACTGCTGATGAAAGGCTCGGTATAATAGGGCAGTACTGTGTAGAGAGCTTCATGTTTTAAAATTTTTTTGATAAACTTTTTGATGAATTATTTAGTATTCATTGGGGGAGAAAAAGGCATAGTAGACCCCTTCTCTTTTTAACTCATGTATGTCTATATGGTGGGAAAATAACCTGATTTTCAGGTTCATTCTTTCCTTCTAACCAGGGAAACCTTTGTTTTTTATGCTATAAGCTGACAGCAGATCTCAGGTGCAGAGGGCACGCTATGAGGCAGCTAACTGGAAATACAAGTATGGCTATGAGATTCCTGTGGACATGCTGTGTAAAAGAATTGCTGATATTGGCCAGGTGCGGTGGCTCATGCCTGTAATCTCAGCACTTTGGGAGGCCGAGGCGGGTGGATCACGAGGTCAAGAGATCGAGACCATCCTGGTCAACATGGTGAAACCCCGTCTCTACTAAAAATACAAAAAATTAGCTGGGCATGGTGGCGCGTGCCTGTAATCCCAGCTACTCAGGAGGCTGAGGCAGGAGAATTGCCTGAACCCAGGAGGCGGATGTTGCGGTGAGCCGAGATCACGCCATTTCACTCCAGCTTGGGTAACAAGAGTGAAACTTCGTCTCAAAAAAAAAAAAAAAAAGAATTGCTGATATTTCTCAGGTCTACACACAGAATGCTGAAATGAGGCCTCTTGGTTGTTGTATCCTAAGAAGTCGCCCAAATAATCGGTGAATTGTAACTTTTTATAGAACATGCATAGAGAAAGTTATTTCAGTAACACTTGAGTTCTGAACATATGGTTTAGAAATTATATAAGGTGGGAAAATCTTTACTATAAATCAGAGCTAAGGGATAGGTTTTACAACAGCATGTCAGGCACTATCTTTAAGTTTTAGATGCTATTAGACTTTGTCTCAACATATTTCTATTTGGAGTATGTGATTTGAAAGATCCAAGTCCTGATTTTATTAGGATGTGTAATGAGGTTCTACTGCAATTCCAGATTATTAATTCTGTAGAAATGCCTCCATCAGGCATCTTAATGTAGCTGTTTCTTTTGACCACCCTTAGGAATTAGGATCACACATGGGTCTGTGATTCACATTTTTAGAATAAATTTCTATTTTTGAAAACAAGTAGAATTGTATTGAAAGAGGGATGAGATTTACAGATTTTTAGATGTAATGTAATAAATTAGCCTGAAAAAATGTAATGCCTGTTTGTTTCTGGCATTGTGTCATTCATTCATGAGCATGAAAGCAGTCAGTGTAATGATTTCTGTTTAGCATCTGACCCTCTTGACTTCTTACTGAAAAATTACTTAAATCCTATTCATCTTGCAAGACCTTGGAGTAAAGAAGTATTTGTTGTTTCCCCAAGCAGTAAGTGGGTGGGCACCTTTTTGTGTTGCCCTCATTCTTTGTATATATCAAATATAAGAAAGCAGTTAAACCGTTCCTTAAGTACTTTGTTAGCTGATCTACTGAGTAGAAAGAAATGTAATGATGGTGTTTATTTTAATTTAATGCCTATAATATGGTAACACTAGAATTGTAGTGACAAAGTTATATGTGTAGAATTTAGAGCTTGGTTTGTGTGATTTATTAGAGGAGTGTATACCAACAGTAATGAAGATGGGCAGTGTACAGGTGAGCAGGTAGCCCATAAGTGTATTGCAGTTTGTGCCGGCATTCCCAAGGTATGTTCCATATACTATTCCCTGGAACTTTAATAGGTATTTCTTAAATTTTTTTTTAAAAAAGGTATTTCTATTTCTTAGTCAAACTGAAGAGCTACTGAGTTAAGTAGGTCAATCTACAAAATAATGTTTCAGAGTATTTAATATGCTATTATTTATTGTTTCCAGAAGAGGTATATAAAAGTGTCTTTGGGCCAGGCGCAGTGGTGCACACCTGTAATCCCAGCACTTTGGGAGGCCAAGGCAGGAGGATCACTTGAACTCAGGAGTTTGAGACCAGCCTGGGGAACATAGCGAGACCCCATCTCTAAAAAAGAAAGTGTTGGGAGAACGATCCAAGATGGCCGATCGCTAACTTCCCGGGATTGCAGCTCTCAGGGAAGGCGCGGAGAACTAGAGGACGCCACACTTTCAGACAAATTCTGGTCGCTCACGGAGCAGAAGAACCCCCAGTGGAGGAAACACACGGGTGGCCAGCGCGACTCTCATGGCCGGCACAGCAGTTCCGCCGGCACCTCGATGCAGCAGCTCTCTGAGCAGAGTAAACAGGTTCAGAGGACCCGCACGGGTCCCCAGCAGGACACCAGAGCCCGGCGCAGCGGCTGTGACGGCACCTCGGCGCGGCAGCACTCGGCGCAGAGTAAACGGGACCGGTTCCCCTTCTGACCGAGGTTTGGAGCCCCGGGAAGGCAGAGTCGCCCACTATGGACACAAGAAGGAAGCCAGACAGGAGAATCCTGGGCAGAAAAGCACCATCAGTTTTAACTCCGCTGCTCTGGCCCTGGGAACTAACAACCTGGACATCCACTCAAGACACCTAATCTGAAAGTTGGTAATTTCAAAGACGACAGGAGGATAAATTTACAATGACGGGAAGAAACCAGCGTAAAAAAGCTGAGAATACTCAAAGTCAGAACGCCTCTCCCTCTAAAGATGATCACAGTTCCACATCAACAATGGAACAAGGCTTGATGGAGAACGAGCGCATCCTGATGACAGAATCACTCTTCAAGGAATGGATAATAACAAACTTCGGTGAGTTAAAAGACCATGTTGTAGCCCAACATAAAGAAACTAGGAACTTTGAAAAAAGGTTTGATGAAATCCTATTGAGAATAGACAACTTAGAGAGGAGTATGAGTGAATTAATGGAACTGAAGAATACAATACAGGAACTCTGAGAAGTATGCACAGGTTTAAACACTCGAATTGTTCAAGCAGAAGAAGGGATATCAGAGGTCAAAGTCCAACTTAATGAAATAAAACGTGAAGAAAAGATTAGAGAAAAAAGGACAAAAAGGAATGAGCAAAGTCTTCAAGAAATGTGGGACTATGTGAAAAGACCAAATTTATGTTTGATAGGTGTACCTGAATGCGACAGAGAGAATGAATCCAAGCTGGAAAATACCCTTCAGGATATTATTCTGGAAAATTTTCCTGAACTAGCAATGCAGGTCAACATTCAACCCCAGGTAATACAGAGAACACCACAAAGATATTCCTCAAGAAGAGCAACCCCAAGGCACATAATCGTTAGATTCACCAGGGTTGAAACGAAGGAGAAAATACTAAGGGCAGCCAGAGAGAAAGGTCAGGTTACCCACAAAGGCAAGCCCATCAGACTTACAGCAGATCTCTCGGCAGAAACTCTACAAGCCAGAAGAGAGTGGGGGCCAATATTCAACATCCTCAAAGAACAGAACCTTCAGCCCAGAATTTCATATCCAGCCAAACTAAGCTTCACAACTGAAGGAAAAATAAAATCTTTTATGAACAAGCAAGAACTCGGAGATTTTATTACCACCAGGCCTGCTTTACAAGAGCTTCTGAAAGAAGCATTACACACAGAAAGAAACAACCAGTATTAGCCTTTCTAAAAATACACCAAAAAGTAAAGAGCACCAACATAAAGAAGAATTTACACCAACGAATGGATAAAACAGCCAGTCAACATCAAATGGCAGTAACCCTAAATTTAAATTGACTAAATCCCCCAATCAAAAGACACAGCCAAAACCCAATGGCATGTTACATCCAGACCTGTTTCACATGCAAGGATACACAAAGACTCAAAACAAAGGGATGGAGAAAGATTTACCAACCAAATAGAGAGCAAAAATAAATAATAAATAAATAAAAAGCAGGAGTTGCAAATCTCGTATCGGATAAAATAGATTTTAAAGCAACAAAGATATAGTGGTAAAAGGATCAATGCAACAACAAGAGCTAACGATCCTAACACCCAGATACATAGAGACTTAGACTCAATGAGACAGAAAATTAATAAGAATATTAAGGACTCGAACTCAGATCCGGAACAAGTAAACTTCATAAATATTTATAGAGCTCTCCACTTCAAATACACAAAATATACATTCTTGTCAATACCACATCACACCTACCCATAAGCTTAAATGAAACATTGATTGGCCATCATTAATACCCAATTTTTTTCAAAATAAAGCAATATTTCCATTTACTCTCCCTCTTTCTCTTCCTCTTTCTTCCTCTCCTTTACTTATTTTTTTTTTCTTTCCTTCTCTCAAAAAAAAAAGAAATCAACTTGTAAACCTCTAGATCCAGGTCGGCAATGTCTCTCTCATTGCTTGATTTCCTTCCTTCCCTTATTTTTTTTTTCTTTCCTTCTCTCAAAAAAAAAAAGAAATCAACTTGTAAACCTCTAGATCCAGGTCGGCAATGTCTCTCTCATTGCTTGATTTCCTTCCTTCCCTTCCCTCCCTCCCTCCCTCCCCGCTTCCTCCCTTCCTTCCTTCCTTCCTTCATCCCTTCCTTCCTCCCTACTGTCCTTCTTCCCTTCCTTCCTGCCTTCCCCCCCGCCCCCCCCAAAAAAAAGAAAAGAAAAAGAAAAAAAAAAAAAGAAAGTGTTTTTGAAATGTATTTGACCAGGCAACATCTTGAAGGATTAGGGTTCAAATAAACATGCTTGGATAACAGCAAGGATTGGAAATCCTGTTTTTAAATTGTATTTGTAATTATTCAAACTTTTTTTTTAATCTGTGATAAATCCTTTTGTGAAATGGGAATTTTTCTGTTACCTAATTTACCTGTGGTGATATTTTATCAGTTTTCTTTTTTTTTTTTTTTTTTTGAGACGGAGTTTCGCTCTTGTTACCCAGGCTGGAGTGCAATGGCGCAATCATGGCTCACCGCAACCTCCGCCCCCTGGGTTCAGGCAATTCTCCTGCCTCAGCCTCCTGAGTAGCTGGGATTACAGGCACGCGCCACCGTGCCCAGCTAATTTTTTTTTTTTGTAATTTTTAGTAGAGACGGGTTTCACCATGTTGACCAGGATGGTCTCGATCTGTTGACCTCGTGATCCACCCGCCTCGGCCTCCCAAAGTGCTGGGATTACAGGCTTGAGCCACCGCGCCCGGCCCATTTTATCAGTTTTCTTAAAGGAAAATACATATTCTAAAATTGATGGCCAAAGTAATGATTAATAACAGCTATGTGACACCATCAAGAAAGAGGAGAAAAGATATTTAATTAGGGTCTTTCCCTCTTTTTACGTATGATTTTAATTGGTATAGATGAAGAGCAAGGCCCTCAGGTATATAAGTGTGATCCCGCAGGTTACTACTGTGGGTTTAAAGCCACTGCGGCAGGAGTTAAACAAACTGAGTCAATCAGCTTCCTTGAAAAAAAAGTGAAGAAGAAATTTGATTGGACATTTGAACAGACAGTGGAAGTAAGTCAACCAAAAAGGAGCTGACTTTTTTTATGCTATGTAGAACAGTGAGGATCTTTGCATAATTGACATTCGATAAATGCTCTTCCTGAATTACATCACAAGACTCAAGTTTGTCAACTTAATAATGAAATTGGTATCATATAGCTGACATAGGAAAATTTGGGATGCTTTTATTAATTTAATTCCTTATTACATAATGTATTTGAGCTGGCGTTTAACAAAACACATATAATAAAATAAGAAACTATAAATAAAAATAGGAACCAGCTGGGCATGGTGGCACACACCTGTAGTCCCAGCTACGTGGATTTGCTTGAGACCAAGTGCTCAAGCTAGTTCCATTTACGGCCAAGAAATTAAAAACAAAAATTTTAGTAGATTTTGGGTGTAAGAGTCAGAGATTAATGCCATTGAGAGGACGCTAACAACATGCTTGTTACCATCTAATGCTTTTATGTTTGGTTTGGCAGTATACCTAAAGGAGATACAAAGCTAATTAATGTTCAGGAAGTACTGGGCCGTGTCTAAATGTTTCTTAAAGATTTTTAATTGCAATTCATAATTAGTTACATAAGTAACCACATCAGGTATATAAACACTTAAGGCCAGGTGTGGTGGCTCAGCACTTTGGGAGGCAGGCAGATCACCTGAGGTTAGGATTTCAAGACCACCCTGGCCAACGTGGCAAAACCATACAAAAAATGAGCTGGGCATGGTGGCAGGTGCCTGTAATCCCAGCTACTCAGGAAACTGAGGCAGGAAAATCCCTTGAACCCAGGAGGTGGAGGTTGCAGTGAGTCAAGATGGAGCCACTGCACTCACTCCAGTCTGGGTGACAGAGTGAGACTTCATCTTAAAAAAAAAAAACAAAAAAAAAAAACCTTAAAACATTCTTAAATAGTTTTTACTGTAAATTCCTTGAAGGTGCAGAGTGTATCATTTATCTTTATTCTTTCCCCATTTCACCCCAAGTGCCAAGTGAAGAGTAGTGCCTGGGTCATGATGCTAATAAACTACTTTGTATAAATCATCCTATTTTGATTAATGGACCCCTTTATTATCTGACTTGGTAGAAACATGTTTATCATTGGCGGGCAATACATTAGAGCTAAGCAGTCTGTTAGTGACATTGCCCTGCCTCATTGAAATATGGAGCCTCCTGATCCACTCATGATTTATATTGAATAAGCTAGAAATGAGAAAACCTTGGAATCTCTTAAAAAGTACTCTATTTTAAAATGATGCTTTTTTTCAGACTGCAATTCCATGCTTGTCTACTGTTTTATCAATTGATTTCAAACCTTCAGAAATAGAAGTTGGAGTAGTGAGATTTGAAAATCCTAAATTCAGGTGAGTTATATATATTGTGGGCCAAGGTGGAGGCATGTGAGTCCATTTGTCCTATAACTTATGGGGGAAACTTTTTTACTTTTAAAAATTTATTAATTTTACTTTTTTCTTTATTGGTGCAAAAGTAACCTTTTTTTTTTTCTTTTAAACTAACATTATAGTTTGTTTGTTTGTTTCCCCAAGCACCTGAGATCTGTTTTAAAACTTGCTGGACTCTCTTTAACAGTCAGATATGAAAGCTTTTCTCCTTATTTCAAAGTTATATCTAACACCAAGTAACCTTTATGTAAGGAATAAAGTAAGAATAAGTGTTTTCTTTTTTTAATTTAAGGCCAATACAAATTTAATTCCCAAAGTAGTAGGTCGCAAGTTTTTCAGATAGACCTTTGGTTATTTAGTAGTTCTTTAAGTAGAACTGTGAGGAGCAATATGAGCTACTAATATACGTCAGACCCTTATCCAGAGATCTTTGGAAAGCCCATATTTTGAATACAGGTAATTGACTTGCAGATGCTAGATGTGTGTATGTTCTTACTCACTAAGTGACTAACTCCCACGCATTAGCCTTAGAGCTTCCATTATTCAAACCCATACTGAGTGGTCCACATAATCATCTCATTTAATCCTCCCAGCAACCCTATGAGGCAGTTGATATACCACAGACTAGGATGCGCTTATATTTAACTGTAATGAAAATACTTCAGTGAAATCCACAGATACCAGGAACTATGGGAGAAATTTTTTTTCCCTATAGAAAGAAGTCTTATAACTTGGGTGGTGGCGGGGATCAAGTTGCTTTTGAAAAAGGTATTTTGTTGTTTTTTAAGCAGTAACATTTTAGCAGGAGTAATTTAAAAATCTTTCTAAAGAAGCTACAATTAGTTCTTGTTTTCTCTTGTTTCTACTGAGTAGTGATCCCAGCTACTCAGGAGGCTGAGGCAGGAGAATTGCTTGAATCCAGGAGGTTGCAGTGAGTCAAGATTGTGCCACTGCACTCTAGTATGGGCAACAGAGCCAGATTCCATCTCAAAAGAAAGAAAGAAAAAATGTATGTTAAACATGGAGCACTCTCTGGCTGGTAGACTGTTCATAGAATGGCAACTTTATTTTTATGAACTTCTGCTGAATCTGAACACTTTAATGTGCTTAAAATTTCTCTGAACTTTTATCTTTGAGCTGACATAAACTTGAGTTATACTACATATAAATGCATTTTGACGGCTGGGCCCAGTGGCTCATACCTGTAATCCCAGCACTTTGGGAGGCCAAGGCAGGTGGATCATGAGATCAGGAGTTTAAGACCAGCCTGGCCAATATGGTGAAACCCTGTCTGTCTGTCTCTACTAAAAATGGAAAAATTAGCCAGGTGTGGTAGCACACGTCTATAGTCCCAGCTACTCAGGAGGCTGAGGCAGAAGAATCACTTGAACCAGGGAGGCAGAAGTTGTGGTAAGCCGAGATCACATCACTCCAGCCTGGGCAACAGCACAAGATTCTGTCTCAAAATAAATAAATAAATAAATAAATGCATTTTGACATAGAAGCTAAATAGAATATGTACAATTTAGCTTTCTTTATATTCGGTTGTAATATTTTCTATCTTAGCTGCAGCTAAAGAATTTTAAGAGACAGTTCTAAATCTGTTAAAGAAATAAACATTTTTGTATATAGGTGAAGATGATATAATATCTGGGAGGATAAGTGTGTGTATGGATTTTTTAAAAATTGGTTTATAAATTGATAATTGTTGAAGAAGGTCCATAGGTATATGGCAGTTTATTATACTATCCTACTTCTATATGTGTTTGAAATTTTTTTAATCGTTTTTTTCCCCTTTCGCCTTCTAGGATTCTTGCAGAATCAGAGATTGATGCTCACCTTGTTGCTCTAGCAGAGAGAGACTAAACATTGTCCTTAGTCTGCCAGATCCATGATGTCACTTACCTGTGTGTTTGGTAAAAACAGACCAACATTACGGAGATCCCTGGATTGAAAAACGAGCCTCTCCCATTCCTCCTACCACCGAAGTGGTTAGGACTCTATGTAAATAAAAACAGTGCTTTTGGAAAATAATTGCATCCTGTCGTTTTCACCTCCTATTTTAAAATTTATTTTTTATATATAATGACATATTTATGGGGTACAGTGTGATGTTTCAAAACATGTATACATTATAATTATCAAATAAAGGTGATTAGCATATCCATCACCTGAAACACCATGTTTTTGTGGTGAGAACATTTAAAATTCTTTCCTAGCTATTTTGAGGTACATAATACCTGATTTTTAATTTTTTAATTTTTTTTGCTCACCTTCAACTCTCTTGATCGAATTATATTATTTTTTGTTTTTTAAATCAGGGTCTTGCTCTGTTGCCCAAGCTAGAGTGCAGTGCCATGATCATGGCTCACTGCAGCCTTGAACTCCCTGGCTCAAGTAACCCACCTCAGCCTCCTTAAGAGCTGGTACTACAGACATACACCATTGCACCAGCTAATTTTATTTTTTGTACAGATGGGCTCTTACTATGTTGCATAGGCTAGTCTCAGACTCCTGGCTGGCATTAAGCAGACCTTGCCTCAGCCTCCCAAAATGCTGGGAATATAGGCATAAGCCATGGTTCCTGGACCCACAATACCTTACTGTTGACTGTAGTCACTCTGCTGTGCAATAGGATACCAAATCAACCTCAAATTCCTGGAGGTAAGCAGTGCTGCCACCTTAGCCTCCCAGGTAGCTAGGACTAGGCATGCATCACCAGGCCTGGCTAATTATCTTTTAGAAAGTTAAAAAAATTGACATAAGGGTCTCCCAGTGTCACCAAGGCTTGTCTTAAACTCCCGGTCTCCAGCAATCCTACCTCAGGCTCCCAAAGTGCTGAGATTACAAGCGTAAGTCACTGCACTGGGCCCTTCCTCTCCAATTGTAACTTTTTAGCCATTCACCAACTTCTCACCATCCTTTCCACCACCACTTCCAGTCCCTGCTAACCACTGTTCTATTCACTATTTACAGATCAACATTTTTAGATTTGGCATGTAAGTGAAAATGTGGCATTTGTCTTTCTGTATCTGGCTTATTTTCACATAATGTATTGTCCTCTAGGTTTATCCATGTTGTAAATGACAGGATTTCATGCTTTTTAACAGCTGTATAGTATTTGTGTATAGATATAACATTTTCTTTATCCATTCATTCACTGTTGAACACTTAAGGCAATTATATCTTGGCTATTGTATATACTCCTGCAATAAACATGGGATTGCAGATATCTCCTCAACATATGGATTTCACTTCCTTTGAATACATACCAAGGAGTCCAATTGTTGGGTTACAGAGTAATTCTATTTAATTTTTTGAGGAACATTCCTACTGTTTTCTATAATGGCTATACTAATGTACATTCCCCTTACTTGTAAGGGTTCCCTTTTCTCCGCATCCTCATCAACACTAGTTACGTTTTATCTTTTTGATAATAGTCATGCTAATGAATCAGGTGATATCTCACTGTGGTTTACCTACAGTTAAGTATTAAGCCTTTGGTATATGCAGACAAATATTCACCATCTAAACATTGTAGCTTTGGTGATTTTGTTGACACCTGTACCAGTTTACTTGGTTTAAGAAATTTCAGCCAGCACCAGGTGTACTGTCTCGCACCTGTAATTCCAGCACTTTGGGAGACCTAGGCTGGCAGATCATTTTAGCTCAGGAGTTTGAGACCATCCTGGGGAATATGGTGAAACGTTGTCTCTACCAAAAATGTAAAAACTTACCAGTGTGTGGTGGTGCACATCTGTGGTCCCAGACACTTAGGATGCTGACGTGGGAGAATCGCTTGAGCTCGGGAGTAGAGCTTGCAGTGAGTGGTGATTGTGCCACTGCTCTCCAGCCTGGGTGACAGAAAGAAACCCCATCTTAAAAAAATAATTTATAGCTAGAAATGTAAACTGTAGCTATAGGATATAATTAAATAACAAACTACAACTTTGGTTTTGAAACCTACTCGGGCCAGGTGCTGTGGCTCACACCTATAATCCCAGCACTTTGGGAGGCTGAAGCGGGAGGATTGCTTGAGGCTAGAAGTTTGTGATGAGTCTGGGCAACATAGCAAGACCTCATCTCTACAAAAAAAAAAACTTTGCTTAATTAGTTGGGCATGATAAGCCTGCACCTGTAGTCCCAGCTACTCAGGAGGCTGAGGCAGGAGGATCACTTGAGCCCCGGAGTTTGACGAGGCAGGGAATTGTGATTGTGCCACTGCACTTCAGCTTGGGTGATAGAGCAAGACCCTGTCTCCAAAAAGAAATCTGCTCTGACTGTAAGTCGGCATGTGAAGCAAGGCCTTTATTTTACAATTCCTCATTCAAAGAGGGTATTACTGAATGTGAACTCCAAGTCCCATTGGATGTTTTAACTATATAGTAAAAGGATTAGTATGATCTTTAGTAGTTTTGAGAAAAACATTTATACTCAGTAAGAACCAGTATTTTCAAGAGTAGAAACTTACCTTGAGGAAACAGGACTAGAAAAATCGTAGAATGTACACATTTTCTGTGCCTCCTTAATAATAAATACTTGAAGGTGACATTAAGAAATTGGTTTATGTTAAAGTTTAGAAAACCACCATCACAATGTTAAGGAAAAAAGAACAAACCATATTTTCATAGTAACCCATGTTTTTAAATGTATGGGATTTTTCAAAATCCCAGAGTGGCGACCTGAGCCACTGATTAGAGATGATTTTAAAATCCTGGAAAGTAAAAAAAAAAAAAAAATCTTGGAAAGTCTAAGGCTAATACATTTTATGCCCTGTTTTGCACTGAGCAAGTCTGGTGCTGTTGACCTCCTGCAGGTGAGTGTGGCTGCTAGTCTCATGCCAGATGAAGTAAGAGTTGCCCCTGTTTCTGCAGCCACCAGGCCCACACAACAGGAGGGCACGTAACCATGTGACCACCAGAAGCCGGAAACTTCACCAACCACATCCTCTTCAGAGCTGTCGGGAGTAGTAAAGTTTCCTAACAAGGAAGCAAGTTTCTTCCAGTTCAAAGATTATTGTTCCGGGACTACCCATCCAAATCTACTAGGCTAATCCTCTAAAGACAAGCTGATGAATTTCCACATCCTTACAACCTTGACTGATTCCACCCTCCTAGAATCAGTGGATGAGAGACGAGCAAATAATTCCGTTTTTATTGTTAGAGGATCCTTTTAGGGGTAAAAAACTAAAATTCTGTAATTTGTTAGAAAACTTCTTAAATTATAAGGCAAAATCTAGATGAATTCGAATAGTTTTAAATATTGGTTAAGTTATTTATGCTTAAGTAAAAGAATAGGAGGAATAGAAAAGGTCAATTCAAATAGGTGAACATTAGGCTGGCTGCAGTAGCTCATGCCTATAACCCCCAATACACTGGGAGGCCAAGACCAGCGTGGCAGTAATATCTCGTCTGTACAGAAATTTTTTTTTTAATTAGTCAAGTGTGATAGTGCTTACATACCTAGAGTCCTGGCTACTTGGGTGGCTGAGGTGGCACGGTCACTTGAGCCCAGGAGTCGAAGGCTGCAGTAAACTATGATCACAACACTGCACTACAGCCTTGGTGACAGAGCAAGACCCCTTCTCTAAAAATGAAAATAAAAGGGTAGACATTAAATACTCTAATTATGTTTCTTGTTTTTTAAACAAACTGCCTGGGTTGGATAAGAAGGGTTAATGCAGAAAGGTTATACAAAATGCCAAGAAAAATGCCTGAAATCTTTAAATATCTTTATCCAAATAACATTTTGATTAGTAAGAAATATAAGAATATAGGCCAGGCACAGTGTCTCACGCCTGTAATCCCAGCACTTTGGGAGGCCAAGGTGGGCAGATCAGTTGAGGTCAGGAGTTCAAGACCAGCCTGGCCAACATGGCAAAACCCTGTATCTACAAAAATTAGCCAGATATGATGGCACACACCTGTAATTCCAGCTACTCAGGAGGCTGAGGCAGGAGAATCACTTGAACTCCAGAGGCCAAGGTTATAGTGAGCCAAGATTGTGCCACTCCAGCCTGGGCAACAGAGTGAGACTCCATCTCAAAAATAATAAGAGGAATACAGATATGAGGCTAGGTACAATGGCTTTTGCCAGTAATCCTGGCACTTTGGGAGGCCACGGCAGGTTGGATCACTTGAGGTCAGAAGCTCAAGACCAGCCTAGCCAACATGGCAAACCCCATCTCTATGAAAAAATACAAAAATTAGCCAGGTGTGGTGGTGCACACCTGTAGTCCCAGCTACTTGGGAGGCTGAGGCAGGAGAATCGCTTGAACCCGAGAGGCAGAGGTTGCCGTGAGCTGAGATCCTGCCACTGCACTCCAGCCTGGGCAATAGGCGAGACTTTGTCTCAAAAAAAAAATAGCAACACACACACACACACACACACACACAGACACACACACACACAGATATGGTTTTTAAATATGAGAAATATAATTCTGACACTCAGAGGGATATGTCCAGACATTCATGAATGTGGAGCTAATTGCGTAGACATGAGGCTTTCCTTCTCTTGATACCTCATTTTTCATAAACAGTATTGTTATTGTACCATTTAGGTTACAAATCAACAACCAACCAGGTATTCAGCTCCCTCACTAGCCTCCAAATCCAAGATCCAGACCTGTGCCACAACCAAATTACTACATTAAGGATCTTCACATAGGGCCACATACCTGTAGTCTAGCTACTCAGGAAGCTGAGGTGAGAGGATCACTTGAGCCCAGGAGGTGGAGGCTGTGGTAAGCTGTGTTCATGCCACTGCACTCTAGCCTATATATTGTATTTTTTTTAATACACACACACAAAAAAAACCAATGTATAAAAATCATGAAGGGAATAAATCTAGGGGACAAAATGAGACCCACCCTTTCTAAAAAAAAAAAAATCTAGGCTGGGCATGGTGGCTCACGCCTGTAATCCAAGCACTTTGGAGGCCAGGCGGGTGGATCCCCTGAGGTTGGGAGTTCAAGACCAGCCTGACCAACATGGTGAACCCTCATCTTTAAAAAAAAAAAAAATCTAAAATGACAGCTAAGCTAATTAACATCATAATGGTGAATTAGTTTACTTTTTTGTTTATATTTGTAGAGATGGGGGTCTTGCCATGTTGCCCAGGCTGGTCTCGAACTTCCAGGCTCAAGCCATCCTCCCACCTCAGCCTCCCAAAGTGTTGGGATTACAGCCACCATAAATTAGAAGTTAGAAGCTCCAAGATGGCTTCTAACTCCATTTATTTTACTTTCTGGAAAATCCAGCTAATACAATAAAAAATGAAATTAAGAGGTATTGCAATGGAGATAGAATTGTAATTTTCTATTTAGATTGTTTATCTAAAAATAAGAAAATGACCTAATAGAGTATTAGTCTTTACTGGAACAGGCCCTGTTTGAGATACAATATCCTTTAAACTGGTTTAACATTTATAATTTGCTTGTCTACAGTTCCAAAATTCAGGAAGTTCTTAAAACTCACTTGGCAGCAAATCTAGCCTATACTGATGTAAAGCTTTTTATACTCTCTTTATCTCACTTTATTTCTGCAGAAATAAGAATGTACTTAAGTATAGGGTGCTGCCCCAGACTCCAGTGGTAGAGTCATGGAATATATGGTTTAGGCATCAGATCATCTTTCTAAAATCCAAAATACATTCTATTCCAAAATGCATCTGGGCCAGGTGCAATGGCTCATACCTGTAATCCTAGCACTTTGGGAGGTGAGGCGGGCAGACTGCCTGAGCTCAGGAGTTCGAGACCAGCCTGGGCAACATAGCAAAACCCCATCTCTATTAAAAACACACACACACACACAAATAGCTAAGCATGTTGGCATACGCCTGTAGTTCCAGCTCCTCAGGTGGCTGAGGCACGAGAATTGCTTGCCCCCGGGAGGCAGAGGTTGCAGTGAGCCAAGATTGCACCACTGCACTCCAGTCTAGGAGACAAAGTAAAACTGTCTTAAAAAAAAAAGAAGAACTGGGCCCCAAGCCTTTTGGGTAAAGAATAATAGACGTATACTTTTATCCCCTGTTGCAGGTAAAAACAAACAAACAACAACAAAAACTGAGTCCAAGTTATTTGGCCAGGATCAATGTGACAAGACTAGAACACACAACATTCTGACTTCCAAATGCATCTCTGTCAGGACATTAGATGAACTCTACAATCACTTTTTCTCAGATTGGCCCCTCCCCAACCATCCTAGAAATGTCTAAAAAGTAAATACTTTTCCTATATTACCAGGAATAAGTGTTTAGAAAATTATATAAGTATGGCACAATAGCAACAAAATATAAATAGGGGTCAGGTGCGATGGCTCGTGCCTGTAATACCAGCAGTTTGGAGGCCAAGGCAGGCAGATCACAAGGTCAAGAGATCCAGACCATCCTGGCCAACGTGGTAGAAACCCTGTCTCTACCAAAAATACAAAAATTAGCCGGTGTGGTGCGTGCCCCTGTAGTCCTAGCTACTCAGGAGGCTGAGACAGGAGAATCGCCTGAACCTGGGAGGTAGAGGCTGCAGTGAGCTGAGATTGTGCTACTGCACTCCAGACTGGCAACAGAACGAAACTCCATCTCAAAAAAAGAAAGAAAAAATATATAAATAGGAAGAGAAATAGTCCTAACTGGAACTATTGACCCATGTGGGGAAAGTAAACGACGGTAAGCCGCCTGTTGCTAGATCGAAGTGCTATTGTAAAGTTAGTTCTCTTCCAAACTAATGTGTAAACTTAGTCATTCTAGTCAAAATACTAAAGAAAAAAATTTTTTTAACTTAGAATTGCCAAGCAACAGACCTTAGCATATGTAAGAATTTAATATGTGATAAAATTAGCACCACAAATCAATGGGAAAATAATTCTAGGGAAAAAATAACTATATAGGAAAAAAACATTCCTTGTCTTACATCTTACATCAAAATGAAATCTAGGTGGTTTAGCAAGGTAATTAAAAAATATATATTTAAAAAGAGAGAGCTAGAAGAAGGAAAAAGAGAAAACAAAATAGGTGAAAAACAGATCTCCATGTGGTACTCCACATTTTTTTTTAAGTATACAGACATATATGTTTTAAAGTTTATTTTTTAAAGCTTTTAAAGGAAAAGCCGACCCCTCCCCCCTCTCGGAGTGGGCTGCTCCTCCCCTCTCGGAGTGGGCGGGGACAGCAGTTGCATGGGCAGCTTTCCTTGTGACACTACAAGTCCTGTGGTCCCTTTCATCTTTCTGATTGACCAATGGGCTTGGAGCATTAAGGCCACGCCCCTATTCTATGTTCTAGTGGGGCCCTGGTTACGCCTCCCCTGGCTCAGTCACACAGCTGCCTGGTAGGTGACTGGAGCTATTTACCAGCCCTTACCTGATTTTGCTGATGTGACCCCAACCCCGCCTCCCTCCGCACCCCGCGATGCCAACGACCACAAAGTCTCGAGATAGCAAATTGGCAGCAGCCAAAAAAAAGGTAAAACGTACCAGGTCATAGCCCCCCAACCCAGCCACAGATCCCCTCCAATGGCAAGACTGCTGCCAGAGTTCATACCACTCCTGAGACATACGGGACTGGGCCCCCCAACCTTGGAGCCTCTGAGCTCCCCCCACCAACGTCTTGTCAGTCAAACCCATCCTTTCAGCAAGCAGCCCCGTCCCTGCCATCCATCGCCAATCACCCCAGAGTGACTTTGGGCGGGTGACTCCTGGGACTCCCCACTCTATACGTGGCCTTCACCTCCTGCCTCCCCAGGATCAACCTCCCTGGGCTGATTGGGCTTGTGTCTCCAAGGACCTGGGTTCCCCAGCCCTAGGCCCCACCCTCACCAGTCATCCCTGGGTGACTTTGGGCTGGTGACTCCTTGGGCTTCCTGCTGCAGACTCTGCACTCCCCTCCTTCTTCTCCAACCTCAACCTCCCAGGGCTATTTCAGCTGGCCTCTCCAAAGACCTGGGTCCCAACCCTGTGCTTCCCTCCCCCATCATGGAGCAGCAACTTGGGCGTGGCACTGATGTGGTCCCCTCCCCCAGGAGTAGAATGTAGTGATGTCACCGTCCCTCTACGAACTGTCATTACTGTTGCAAGACCTGACTTTGATCTTATGACCCAGTCCCCTAAGCGTTCTCATCCCATTTCTGGTTCCTCTGGTCACAGAACACATTTCCAGCAGGCAGGGGAATGGAGACTATGGGACCTAAGAGCAAGAGCTTTCAGGCTGCCTCACTCCCTTAACACAGACATTGACAGTGTGAGAAGCCTACACTTCCCCTGTGAGCTCAAAATGTTAACAGTATCTCTGGGTGGCAATGGAAGAATGGGTTTGGCTTGGTTTTCTTCCAGGCTTCTGCTCTCCAGAGAGACTTTAACATTTTTTTCTGAGTTATCCACCTCATATTCAAATTCTCCATAGTTCTGGGACTAACTGCCCTTCAGTCAGTGGTCTCTGGAATGAGATCTCCTCATCGTCTATTGAATAGATCTTGGGAAACTGAACTTGACAGCTTGAATCTCCCTCATATCATCTCAACCTGGGGTACTTCTGAGTGCCACAGGAAAATTATGGGATATCTTTCTGAAGTATCAGTTTCCCTTGAGTCTCTTGAGAAAGGAAAAAAAAATAATGTATTTAGGGAGGACAGTTCTCTCTGAAATGAGGCTTGGGCTGTCATCTTGCTGATAAATACCCGGATTCAACAGAAATGCTGCCTTCTGCCATGACGACAGATCGATATAAAAGTGTGAGCAGTACTGGCGCACTTCTTCACACCAACAGATGTGTGAAGATGCATGACTGTGAAACATACAGTGTACAGGTCCTGCCTACTTAATGTTGACTTTTTCTACCTCTGCCTCTGGTTTTGGTCCCTGGAAGCTGCTGATTCATGGAAAAATCCCAGAGCTTGGAGTCAGAATGAGTTTAAGTTCCAGTATTGCCTTCTTTTTTTGCCATATCAGTCCCTCTCAGTCACTGATTGCGACAACACCTGTACAGTTGTTGGTGGCATTAAATCTGATGGTGTATAAGAGTGTATTGTAAAAACTGTAAAGGGGGATGTGGCTGTTGGGGCTGGTGGTTCTCATGAGTATTACTGCTCTTCTTTCCCACAGTTAAAAGAATATCAGATGAGGAAGAGATCTGGTGTTCTCGAAGGAGCGAAAAGAAAATTGAACACAAATGCCAGTAACCCTGAGTCAGCCGCCTATAGTGGTTGCCAGTCACCTGGGGATGTGAGTCTTGGCCAGCCAGGCTCCTGGGGATGGGGGGGGAGAGGGGGTGCCCAAGGGGCAGTGGAGGGTAATTGCTAAGATTCTGGATAGACTGTCAGGTACTGGTTAAGAATTCTGGGTTTAGGCTGGGCGCGGTGACTCACGCCTTTAATCCCAGCACTTTGGGAAGCCGAGGCGGGTGGATCGCCAGGTCAAGAAACCGAGACCATTCTGGTCAACATGGTGAAACCCCGTCTCTACTAAAAATACAAAAAATTAGCTGGGCATGGTGGCATGTGCCTGTAATCCCAGCTACTCAGGAGGCTGAGGCAGAAGAATTGCCTGAACCCAGGAGGCGGAGGTTGCGGTGAGCCGAGATCACACCATTGCACTCCAGCCTGGGTAACGAGAGTGAAATGCCGTCTCAAAAAAAAAAAAAAAAAAGGAATTCTGGGTTTGAATCCTGCCTCTGCCTCTGCATCTGCTAGGGATACGATTTAGGGCAAGTTTCTTGAGCTCTTTGGGCCTCTCTTTTCACATCTGTAAAATACAAGTGGCATTTTTGAATTCTATTTGTGAAGTTTAAATGAGATTTGTGATTGTTGTTGTTTTTATGTTAATCTCTAGTACATGGCCTGCTGTAAAGAGCCAGGACACCCAGGAAATGGTCGTTGCTGTTTGGTTTTCCTCATCCCCAGTCTCAAGGGGAAGCCAGGCCAATGAGAACAGCCACTTCCCATCAGCCTGTCCCTTCAGCAGTCACTGAAAGAGCCCCAGAGTGGGAGGGTGGGGAGATAAGAACCGTGAGAAGAGCTGGCACAAAGGGGTTATGGGACAAAGGGTCTGAGATAGGCAGAATAGAAAATTTTGCCAGTTGATGGGAAAGAAAGGAAGTTAGAGGGCTTAGACACTGAGGGTACAGAACATTTCCATGTACACTCTCATCTCTTGTAGCCAGAAACAGGTATGCACGCAGAGGGCCCTGTGTCATGTACTGCTGCGAAAGATATGGAGGTAAGAGGCCCTGCGCCGAGGTGCAGTGACCCTGCAGGCCAGCCCTCCAGCCTCCTTCCACAGCGGGGGCTGGGTGCCCTTCTGCCAGCTCAGACAGCCCCCATACACCATAGCCCTAATGATTGTTCTCTCTACCTCCCCCAAATCCTCCTCCAACTCCTCCTCTCTGCATTCACCTCAGAGGCACTACCAAGAAACAGCAGTAACCCTGGACTTGAGCTCCAGAACAATCGGTCAACTGAATGACACCATTCAGTTATTGGTAAGAGTCCACTGGGGTCCCCTGATTCCACACTGCCAATCCTGGGCTCCATTTTCCCCTTGGGGCCCCGAGAAAAGGGGCTGTGGGACCCTGGTGCCAAGGGCAAATGGGGAGCTGGGGCACCCAGGCCTCACCTGGAGGGACCCAGAACAGGGACATGCAGCATGGCTCTTCTGTTGCTGCCCTTTTTGCCGACTCTCTCTTCTCCAGACTCACCCCTGCTCAGGTCCTTGCCACACATGCCCTGGGGCTGTCACCTCTCAGGGAAGTGCTAACCTGACTGGTGGTCAGGGGCCCTGTATTCCTGCTGTGACTCAGTCCCTAATTTGCTATTTGACTCTGAACAAGCCACCTCTCCTCCTCGGGCTCGTGTTTCCACAGGAGGTCAAGAGTCTCAGAGGTCTCTGTTAGCTCTGAGAGTCTGATATTTAAAGGCCCCTTAGAATGGAAACCTCAGGGCCAAAGGCTCCTGTCTTTTTCTGTCCTACATCTCTGCTGTGAAGAACTGTACCTGGCCCATATTTGCTCAGTAAACATTTATTGAATGAATAGTTTTCTAAATCACAAGCTGACAGAAGGGGGCCCTTTCTCAAACTTCATCTCTAGAGGTTTATGTTACTGTCCTTTCGAGAGAATCCAGATTCAGACTTTGAGTTCTGTGGCTGTGGGCAAAAGCCAACAAAGACTCTCTGTCCTTGGGAGCTTCAGGAGAGTTAACCAGTTTGTGTTCCCATTGGGTCTGAGAAATGTGCCTTCAAAACCCATTCCTGGCCCCTGTCTATCACTTCCTGGTGTGGAGAATAGAGTTGAGGGGCCACCCTCAGTCACCTTGACTCTCCACAGAAACAGCAGAAGGAAGGCCTGGAACAACAGCTGAGAGAAGTAACGTGATTTGTTTGCCCGTGACATGACTGTGGGGTTTGGGGGGCACTCAGATGTAGAGATGCCAGTCTCATCTCACCCACTCCCAGCCTGGGGAAGAAGGCTTGCCCCTCAGATTCCACCCCATCCCCACAGGGTCCCTGATAAACTGGTCTCATGGGTGGATCTGTCCTGGGGCATTAATGGCATTCCTGGGGCATGTCTCTTATGCCATCTCTGCCTCCCCCTGCTAAGAGCTCTGTCTTCCTCTTCCTATAGGAAAGGAAAATGCAAAGGGAGCAGTTAGAGGTGAGTGGAGGGTGAAGTGTTCTCCTATCCTTCGGAGAATGCTTCTTTCCTTCTCTTTCAGCACTTGCTTGGCTTTTCTACCAAAGGGTCACATCCAGACAATCAACATCCTCACGTCTGAGAACGGGCAGTTGAAAACTGCCCTATACCACACGGTCCATGCCGCCAGGCACTTTGAAGGTGGGAATCTGGGCACCCTGTTATCCTTCAACCTGGCAATTTGACAGGTCTTTAGTGGGAGTCCTTAGGGCCCCATCTCAATCTCTCTCATTCTAGAAGAGTTGAATAAATTGGCCGGCTGCCACCAGAAGGCCTTGCAGCAGAGAGGGGAGTTGGAGCGGACTCTCTCTGCTGTCTCTGCCCAGCAGGACAAGGCGGACAGGGTGAGTCCAACCACCTGCCCCATCCCCTGGCAGCCTGGCTTCCCAGATGGAGTGAGCCTAAAGGTGCCTTCTGCAGGATGGAGTGTCTGCCCAGAAGGCAGCATGGCCATTTCTCACTGCTTTTGTGTGTGGTTGTTAGAGGCAGCCTGGGGACAAGTCAGCTGCTGTGGGTGAGTTAGGGGACACTGTGGGGAGCGAGCACTGGACGCAGAGTTCCGAAGCCAAGTGCCTGCCCCGCCCTTACCTGTGTCCTTGGCAGAGTCCTCAGTGGGGAATTGGGTACTTGTACTGTGAAGGTACAAAAGAGTACCTTTAGTATGTTACCATTTGTGTAGAGAGAGGAAACGTGTGTGTGTTGTGTGTGTGTGTGTCTGTGTGTGTGTGTGTACTAGAATATACACAAAACGTGTCTGCAAGGGCTCAAAAAAACTCAGGAGAAAGCACCCGGAAGACTGGGAGGTACTTCCTTACTGTACCTTCTGAGTTTTGGATTATGTGAATGTATCATTTTTTCAAAAACTGAACAAAAGATTAACTTCCCCCTTGCTATCTGTGCCTCCATGCCCAGCAAGAAAAATGGGCTTAGAGAATCAGATACATCTGGGTGTTCAAATCCCAGCTGTCTCAGTGATCTTATGCAAGCACTTAACCTCTAATACTCCATGTTTTTCATCTACACAATAGAGGTAATCACAGTAACTGTCTCATATGGTGATTGTGAGGATCAAATGGGATTGTGAGCACAGCACCTGGTGAAGCTCAATAAAGGTTCAAACAGTGGTAGTCATAAGAGTAATACCAAGAGCAGTATGATCTCATCTCTCTGGGCCTGCGTTAGCCAGCTGTCACTTGGATCTCTTTCCCTGTCCATTCCAACTTCACTAAGTTCTTTTAAAAGCCAGACCACGGGCTTGGAAATGCCTTGATGTTTACTGACCGAGTAGTATATTGAGCCTAGCCTCAGCCCTTTGAAGGGGTATTGTGTGGAATGGCCCAGGCTCCCCAGATCGAAACTTCTCACACTTCACCATCCAGTCCTTACACCACTGTGAAGCAGTCCTCGAGCAGTCACAGCACTCCAGAAAGGAGCTGGCACTGCTAAAAGCACACATGACACAGGTGGGGCTTTGCAGAGGGAGGGATGTGGAAGGAAGATGACCCCAGATGGCCATGAGCAGGTGAGGACCAGTGACAGCTCTTCCTAACTTCTGTGTTCATTTTGACAGATGACGGCATCACTTCACCAAGTGCAGCTCGAGAGAGGAGTATTGTCAACTTCTTAAAGGAGAGAGGTTCCGGTGGCAGCAGGGGATGCGGAAAATATCACAGGAGGTGAGACCTGACCCTTCAGACCCCACCTTAAGATAGGTCACTGGATCTTTCTGGGTGTCTGTGAAATAGGAATTGCACAGCCAGAGGTGACCATGAGTCTGGGCTTTGTGGAGGTGGGGCAGAGAGGGAGATGGTAGCCTGTCCAGCCACCAGCCCCTCTCTTCAGGGCCCTTTCCCCTGTGCTTTGGGCAGGTTCTCACATTGAAGCTTGAGAAGATGCAGGATGCACATCGCATGCAGGAGCTGGAAAGGAGCCTTGCCCACCTCAGGAACCAGCTGGGTAAGATGTGACTGGCGTGACCTGGGAACAGGACTGGCACCAGAGGGCTGTGGGGATAGTTTAGAATATCCTAGGGAGGTAGGTGAATGGAAGGGCTTTGAGACAGAGGAAAAGAGGTCTGTGCCGGGAGATGACAAGTCTTATAATCTCCATGAGCCTCAGTGTCCCTATCAGCAAAGAGGGAGGAGGGCCCGTTGTCAGCCGCCCACAGTGCTCTCTATCTGAAAGTGGCTTGGAAGTCTGGCTACCACCGGGTGCAAAGGATCGTCAGCAGTGAGGCCAAGTTTAGGGAGCGTGAAAGGAGCTGTGCACCAAAAGGAGGGTTTTTTTTTTTAGAATCCAGAGGCCCTTATATTCTGCTTCCTTTTTCAGCTGAAGCCCCACGTCCCAGTAGGGCCCTCGGTGGTAGAACAACAGCTAAAATTTGAGACCAACCTCCTGAGGAAAAATCTGGAGAGTTTGACAGAGCAGCTGCAAGCTCAGGTGAAAAACAATGAGAACTTGAATTGCCTGAGCTCTGAGCAGAAAAAACGGCTGTGGCAGCAGGAGGAGTCATTGCAGGAGCAGAGAGAGAGGATGCGGCTGCAGGAGGAGGAGCTGGTGCGCTGACCCACCCAGGGAGCTTGTCCTTCCGAGCCCTCCATGCGTTTGTTTCCCCATCTGTAAAACGGGGGAATGTAACCCTCATGTGAAATGGTACTTCTAAAGGCACCTGTGAACCAGAGTCCTGCTCTGATGGCTGTGGGAGAAAGGGAATGATTTTTCTAACCTGTCTCTACCCTTCCCGGTGCCTTGGGAGGCAGACACCAAGTTTTGGGGTCTCTAGCTGCAGTGGGTGTCCACTGGTTGCTTCTCTCTGTCCAGAACAGTGAGAAAAAGAACGCACTGCAGTTGGTGCAGCAAATAGGAGAAGCTGCACAACCAGAAGGTGACATAACCTCTGCCCCATCCAAGAAGGGCTGGGAGGCAGGCAGCAGCCTCTAAGTAGGGGAGGGGCGAAACCAAAGGCAGCTTCTGCCTGAGGGCAGGTGACCCCAGCACCCTTCAGGACAGTCCTGTCACCGTTTCTTGTTTTCTGCCCTCTGACTTTTAGAGGTGCATAGCCCTGGGCTCCTCCCAGGTCTATGCATTATCACCCCAGCTAGAGGCATGGAGCCCCCCAATCACAGGAAAAGAGGCAGTGGTGTAAGAGGCTCCTTATGCTAGGCATGGTGGCGCATGCCTGTAATCCCAGCTACTCAGTAGGCTGAGGCACAAAATCGCTTGAGCCCAGGAGGTGAAGGTTGCAGTGAGCTGAGATTGCACCACTGCCCTCCAGAGTGTCCAGAGTGATACTCTGTCTCAAAACAAAACACAAAAAAGGCTTCTTAGATTCAAACTGAATTCTGGCGTCGGTTCTGCTGATCACCACTGAACTTCTTTGCATCTTTAAGTCTCTGTTTCTTTCATTTCAAAAGAAGTTAGTGTTTTCCTTGTGGAGGTGCTGAGGATGAAATGTGATATGTGAAAGCATTAGGCATGTAGCACACTTAGCACATGGTGGTTGGCTCCCTCTGCTTTTCCACCAGTCTGTGGCCTATAGTTTAAATGGTGGGAAGAAGGACATGAGATTTGAGGCTGGGGAAGGAGAGATGGGGTTCTAGGCAAGGGAGTCAGTCAGTCTCTTAGGCCTGGAGCCAGGGGCCTGGGCAGAGCCCCATAGTGTCCTGGCTACCCTATGAATGTACCCAAATCTGGCAGCCAGCCACCACACACTGTCACATCCAGGGTCTTCCTGCAGGTAGAGCTGAAAAGCCAAGAGGCTCAGAGTCTGCAGCAGCAGTGAGACCAGTACCTGGGTCACCTACAGCAGTACGTGGCCACCTATAAGCAGCTGACCTCTGAGAAGGAGGCACTGCACAGGCAGTTACTGCTACAGACCCAGCTCATGAACCAGCTGCAGCAGCAGGAAGCTCGGGGCAAAGCAGTAGCCGAGATGGCCCGCCAAAAGTTGCAGGAGACCCAGGGGAGGGAGTTGCTGAGGATGGGGCCCTGAGGGGGATGACCTGGCAACCTCTGTGCCTTCTCACTTCCTTTCCTGGCCCCTTAGGAGCACCTGGAAGCTGCCACCCAGGAGAACCAGCAGCCACAGGACCAGCTGGGCCTCATGACTCTTCCTGGGGAAGGTATGGGAGACCACTCAGAGGAAGAGGAGAGAGCCCCAAGAGGAAGCGGGGACTGTTAGCAGCATAGGATTGAGGCGTTGGAAGAGACCTTTAGAACAGCTGGTCATTATGCTGACCAGGTGTCCGCACTAAGTTCGGCATCAATATGGTGACCTCCTGGAAGTGGGGGCCACCAGGTTGCCTAAGGAAGCGTGAACTGGCCCAGATCAGAAAGGGAGTGGGTCAGAACTCCCACACCAATTGGTAGTGGCACTGTGCCTGGACAGTACAACAAGATCTTGGTTCTTAAAAGTAAAAAAAGAACAGTAGCTCATTCCTCTGTGGGGAGGGGCTGGCTCCGGGTTACACGGTGAGGGTGGAGGCAGAGGTGGGCCCACAATAGTACCTCCCTTGTTGGGTTGTGTGCGGATCCCTCTGGCACATGGAGGAGGAGGAGGAGGAGATGGAGGAGGACATCTGGACAGTGAGGAGGAGGAGGTGCCTCGGCCCAGCATTGCAGAGGCCCTGGAGAGCCGAGAGGCCATGGTGAGCCTGACTCCCCCTGCCCCTCCTTTGCCTCCCAGACCCCCTTATGCTCTTGGTTTCTTCACCTTCTGATTTCTCTGGACACTCACCTCTTCCGGGAGCCAGTGCTCAGACACCATTTCACCTGTGACCAACAGTGCATTCTCTGAGGCCCCAAGGGAAGGGGCTGCACTCTGCCTCTGTGCCCGTTTGTTCTGTGTATGCCCCTACAAGAATGTTCACCTCTTGTCTTTAGGTTGCATTTGTCAACTTGGCTGGGGCCGGTGCCCAGGAGGAGCAGGAACAACTGTGTGTGCAGCCTCAGGAACAAAGGGTGTGCTACCAGCACCTGGCTCACCCGGTGGCCTCGGTGCAGGAGCCAGAGGCAGTGGCCCCAGCCCCCGCCCCAGCCTCAGGGACTGAGAGTGAGTCTTTGTGTGTGGAGACCAATCAGGCACTGCAGGGAGCCATAGAGAAGCTGCAGGTGAGTCCTGGCATAGGCCAAGAAGGGTGGGGGCAGGGCAGGTCACTGCTGAGATGTGACCCCATTATTTTTACTTCAGAGCGGCTTTATGACCCTCCAAAAGGAGAAGGTGGACCTGAAGGAGAGGGTGGAGAAACTAGAGCTTCTATTCATCAGGCTCTCTGGAGAGACAGACACGATGAGTGAGCGGGAGGCCAGGGCATGGCAGGGGGAGCTGCAGGGTGGTCAGAGGGTCCCCAGTGTCTGAGCCTGTCTGAGCTCTGTCCTTTCGCAGGAAAGGACATCAAATCATATGAGCAGCAGAGGGAAGTCCCAAAACCCCGGCACCAGGAGGAGGTGGAAAAACGGGAGATAAAGGGAAGGCGAGCAGCATCTCTGCGGGGGTGAGGGGGTTGGGAGTGGGCATGAGCATGGGTGCTGGCACCAGCATGGCAGTTGAGCACCCCTCTCTCCAGCTGGAGCAGCAGGAGCCGGTGTTTCCAATTCTGGGTGACAACGAGGGCCATGCCAAATTCCTGGCCACGGCCAAGAACCACGTTGACGAGCCCGCTCCAGGGGCCCCAGCCCCCCAGGAGCTTGAGACTGTCAACAAGCAGGGCGGTGAGTGGAGCCCTCAGGCAGGGAGGGCAGGCAGAAGCAGGGGAGACTCACCCTGAACTGAGATCCCCACCTCCCTCTCTCCAAAGATCTTTATGAGGTGAGCCTTGCAGATAGCATGGAGCCTGCAAGAGATGCCAGGGAGGGTTCTCCCCAGGGCAACCCCACTGTAGGAAACATCGAGCAGCCGGTTTGTGAAAGGAAGACCTTCCTGGAGCACCCAGGCTTGGGCAGCAACTCCTGCGTGCCATTCTTTTACCAGGCTGCCAAGAACGGGGAGATCAGCATCACCATTGTCTAAGAGCTGGGCAAGAATTTTTTTTTTTTTTTTTAATTAGGCAAAGAACTTTATCAACCTTGGTTTCAAACTTGATTCCCAGGCTTCTTCGGCTTAATTAGCTGCAAATAATGAATTGCGTATAAGCAAAAAACTGAAAACAGCTGCAGTGTCCAAGGGGTTTGGGCTTAAAAATATTAGAGATCTAGATTTTATCAGATCCATAAACAAAAAATTCTTAAAAAGCAGTCATAATATAAAGGAGCAGCTCCCAGTAACTTCTTCAAGAAATTTAAAAACCAAAACAAAGTTATGGGGTTAATCTACACAATTCATTAACTTTATTTGGCCGTTAGAGCCACTCATGATTATTTGTGTTTCTAATTTATAAACTTATTTGTAAAAAGTTAAAGTAGAGTTGGTCTTTGTGTGGCTTTCTCTGATACGCACTCTGGCATTCTTTAGCATTTTTCTGTTTCGGTAATTGTAGGTCAATAGCAGGCATATCGAGTTTGGCCTTATGTGGTGGGAGTTCAAACACACAAAGACCCACCCTTTGCACCAAACTCTTTTTGCTGGTTTGGAGTAGGATGCCATGCTTTTTCAATGTTATTGCGGCATGTATACTTATTACGGAATTCAGATACAATTTATGTTCTGCTATCATAGTTGATCACATCCTAATCACAGTGAGCTCTTGGTCAGCTCAGTATGTGGTCTGCCCTCAAGTGTGCAGTTTGTTACTTGGTAAGATGCCACTATGAGTGCTGACATTTAGAGTTGCTGAAAGGCCGAGAACTGGAAACAGCCTTTCCCCTGTTTTCAGTGTCTTTGGGATGGGAGTAATAACATTTTGCAGAGCTTTTTAAATCTCACAGAAGAAAGTGGGCTGCTCTGGCAGGTATGTGCAGAATAATAGAGTAAGTGTCATTGGTTCACAAGCCAAGAATGAGCACTGTACTATGGTAGTTCCCTTAGGATTTTTCTGTGCTCTGGGCTCATGAAGATATTGCATCATGAGCTGCAGCAGCTGTACTCATTTCCAATGACCTAAAAAGGATGATTTCTGAGGAATCAAAGGCTCCTATCATTGACTGTGGATGTGAAAAACCTTTCCTAGTTTAGAGTATTTATATCTATAATATATTTTAAAGTCAGAGTTCACGTTACCTGTTTTAACCACATAACCACATGTCCCAGTACACAAAAGGGCACTGGTTGGCATTCTTAATGTATTTAATAAAGATCATAAGAAATCCTTTAAGAGATGGGGATGGTCTAGTAAGTAGCGGTCTTCCGTACCTTCCCCAGGGAGAGTTACTAGACCATCTAGTAACTTTAAGAGTTTAAATGTCCCTGAAACAGGCATATGAGTTTTTGTCAAGAATGAATTAGAGTGAAGGAAAGCTGAGTGACACCTGTGTTTATGAAGCTTCTTTGAGGCTAGAAGATTGATTTGACCATCCAGACTTCTCTGGCTAATACCTATTCCTCAAGTAACCACATTGGTTACTCTGACACAGGAATTTACTTCTTTTTCTTGAATAAAAAAACACTTTAAAAAAGAATCACAGACATTATTATAAACTAATATACGTGAGAGTACTTAGTTGAAACAAAAAGGAGTTTCAGTAGACAGTATACTATATTTGAACGTCAAGGAGAAGTTTATGCAACTTACGTTTACGAGCTGCAATGCAATCTACTGTTTGTGAACGTCAAACTATTATCAGGAAAAGTGTCTATGCAATCACAGAGTTCTGTCTCCCACCAAATTCTTTACGAAGAGTGAAGTATGTTTTTCTATCTCTTGGTTTCAGTTAGTGGCATATTTTGTGCAATATTTATGGTAATGTGCCTATACATTATGAATGAATTATTTCAGTCATACGTATCCTAACTCATAACATTGTGATGCTTGAGAAAGAATCAACAGTTGAAACTTCATGAAGTTATAATATCTTTGTTCCAAAATAAGTCCCATGATTAGGATGTAGGGAGATACGTATGTGTGCTCCCTGGGTGGGGATTTCTAGTTACTAGGCCATCTCCATTTTTAGCATTTGGCCTCCTCATGATACTTTTATAAATATGACATTAATAACAGAACAATAATATGATTGTACAGATGGAATAACAGATTTCCCTGCATTCACTGAAAGAGTGCAAATATTGGGTCCTGATGACTTCAACTGACTCTTCCAAATTGTATGAATTTAACAGTGTATCAGATAAACCCAGTTTCAGTATTATCAAGAAAAAATGTTAGACCAAATAATGTGGCTAATGAGCAGTGGTACAATTTCTAGCCTGAGGTTTAAAATGGACTTAAAAGTACTGTCTTTAAACTGAACTCAAAGAATGCAAAAGTGGCAAGTTCAGAAAAGAAAGGGTAAGAACAGAATTTTACGTCCATTTTGAAATCTCGGGCTAGAAATCGTACCACTTTTAATTAGCCACATTATTTGGTGCAGGCCAGGGACCTGCCTTCAGTCACAGACCAGCAGCTATGATGGCACCTGGGAGGGAGGGAAGGAAGCCGTGTGTTCTGCCTGGCCTGTGAGGTGTGTTGTGGGATGACTGTGTGTATGGGACTCTCCAGCTTTTACCCGAGATCCACTGGATTATTACCAGCAGATAGAGGAGATGGGACCCTGACTATCACCTGTTCTGCAGTGGATCTGGCTCTCGGCTCTCCTAGGCTGGGAGCTGGATGCCCTGCGCTGGCAGCATGACTCAGAATGCACGACAGGCACAGCATGCCCAGGATGACATTCCTAGGCCTCTGGCCCCCTTAGAGTCCAGCCCCCTCCAAGCTCCCAGCCCCGACACCATAAACCACAAGCTGTCTGCCCACTGTGATGGCCAAGGGGAGCACCCACGTCTGCCAGTTTGAGCATGTAGCCTGTTCCAAAAGCCCCAGGCTCAGCCATGGAGGCCTTGGGCAGTGGCACTGAGTCCCGAGGCTCACAAAGAAGGGAGGTGAGAGAGACAGCAGCATGAGGACAGAAAAAGGAAAGAGAAAGTCTGCAGCTCCAGAAGGCAGGGACGGGGAGCCTGGCTCTTAGGTCCCAGGTTTGCCCCCTGTTGGAGCTGGTGCAGCGGGGCAGGCACACCATTCATGCAGCAGGCGGTGAGGCGTGTGCCTACCATGGCTGATGCTCCTCAGAGGTCACTGATAATGATGACAGCATGAAAAGACAGCATGAAACCAACATGGCAGCTCCCACGCATGGGTGGGGCAGGCCTGGAGGGGACACATGCAAACATCCAGGTGTGCACACATGCGCTGTGAGGCCCCATGGCCTGCATGCACACACTAACACACATGCCCACAAACACCACAAACAACACACCTCCTTCCCCTCCACCTCCTGATGCCCAGCACCCTCACTGGCCGGCATATGCAACATGGGTCTGGGGCATGCAGCTACTCGGCACGCTGAAGCACATGGGTGGTCAGAGTCACAACACAGAAGCACACCCGCACACAGAGGCATTTGCACCAGCTGACTGCCCACGTGTGCCTGGCATGCTCAGAGGACCACTCATGCTGCTCATGGAGACAGGACTTGCTTGCTAATGTCCAGCTGTCATTTCTCCACCTACAAGCCTTCCATGGCTCTCTACTACCTACAGGATAGAGCCCCAACAAGTCAAACTCTGGACTTTGAAGGTTCACCCTAGGCCTCACCCTCCCCATAGAGCTCTTCCCCATTCTGTCTCTGTTCCCTGCTTTGTTCAGTGGCTGTCCTCTATGCGGCCCACACTACACCTCTGCCCACACTATAGCTCTTTACCCAGATACCCTCCAATTCCTTGCCATGTAAGCCTATCTCAGTCATGCCCCAGACAGCAGAGAAGTCAGGCTGCCTTGAAGAAACTCTCCCAGACTGCTCTTTTCCCCAAGGCAGGGCCATGATGTGCAAAACATTTCATGTGTGTTACCAAGACTGGAGTCGGGGCAGGCATCAAACCTTACATCCCATATGTCACACCTCACCATAGACCTGGGCGCCAAAAACTCTGAAGAGTCTGAACTCACGTTGGCAGTTAGCAAAGTGCTCATATGGCCACATCTGCTGTTAACACAGCATCCCTATGGCCACTGTCTCCCTTGATCTTCGTAACCATCCTGGGAGAAAGGCAGAACATCATCATTTTGATAGAAGAGATGCTGAGGCTCTGGGAGGGAAAGGGATTTGCTTAAAGGCCCAGGGTGAGGCAGCATCTCTGGACTCCCAGTGCAGTGCTCTTGCCCAATACTATGCTGCTGGCCTCTACCCATCTATGTTGGACGTCAGCATGTCCTAGGGCAAGCCCCAATCCCTCCCTTATTTTGGTTATATGGGCGCTGGACCCACAGCCCCACCCTCCAGCCATTTGGAAACAAAAACAGATGCCATTGGTCTTCCATAGAGAATGTGGCCAGTGGAAACAGGGCACACTGGGAATCCGAGTGAACATCCTTGAAAGAGGGCCATGGGTCAACAGGGCCAAGCCAAAGGGTGCAGTAGAATGCTTTTCCTTAGAAATCTTTGGGAGTGAAGAAGGCTTCAGCCACTCCCATCTCTGCCCCTGCAGCCACCCCTACCACATCAGTGTAGACCGGGTGCGGGGGGGCAGAGGTGGTGAAGTGGAGGAAAAAAATCAGATTGCCTATGGCCCCCAGGCTCCTTCCCCAGCTGCTTCTGTTCCAGCCCAGGACTGGGTGCCATTCTTACACTCTCACACTCGTGCACAGACACACACACACACACATCACACACCTTTTTGGTCACACAGTCACAGCCTGCCCTCTGCTCCTGTGGGCCAGTGGCAGAAATCCACTGGGAGGGCTCAAAGGAGTCAGGACTTGGAAATGCGGACATCAGCATAGCTGAAAGAAATCCACACCCCTAGAGCAGACTGGGGTTCAGACTCTCAGGCCTGAGGAAGGCTCCCTGAGGATAGAATGGAGGATGGAGGACAGCAAGAAGAAGAAAGGAGGAGGAATGCAGCCAGCACTCCATGACAGGTCCCACCAGCCTTGTGACTTGATTTCTAAGCCTGTTTCTTTCCCTGCAAAGCAGCAGGGAAATCCAACAGGGATGTTTTAAGACAGATTCCAAACTAGCCTTCAGGTTGAATCCAACAATAAAGACAGGTTACATTTGGTCCATAGTGTTTTAAAAAATTTTAATGCTATGTTTAATAGTCAGATTCATCAAAATAGAGACAGCCAGTTTAGGGGAAAGCCAAAAGATCCATCAACTCTGGCCCCACACTTTTTCTTGGCAACAATCAGCTAGTGACCACTTCTTTCAGAGAGGCACATACTCTAGTTCAGCAGCCATTACCTTTCCTTCCTCCTCCTCCTCTGCTCATTTATGTTACCTCAGGCCCCTGTGGGGTTTGAGTTTGTAACCCATTTTAAAGATTAAGAACACGCGGTCCTAGGAGCTTCGGGAACCGCGACTTGGGTGCAGACATGGCCAAGTCCAAGAACCACACCACACACAACCAGTCCCGAAAATGGCACAGAAATGGTATCAAGAAACCCCGATCACAAAGATACGAGTCTCTTAAGGGGGTGGACCCCAAGTTCCTGAGGAACATGCTCTTTGCCAAGAAGCACAACAAGAAGGGCCTAAAGAAGATGCAGGCCAACAATGCCAAGGCCATGAGTGCACATGCCGAGGCCATCAAGGCCCTCGTAAAGCCCAAGGAGGTTAAGCCCAAGATCCCAAAGGGTGTCAGCCGCAAGCTCGATCGACTTGCCTACATTGCCCACCCCAAGCTTGGGAAGCGTGCTCGGGCACGCATTGCCAAGGGGCTCAGGCTCTGCCGGCCAAAGGTCAAGGTCAAGGCCAAGGCCAAGGATCAAACCAAGGCCCAGGCTGCAGCTCCAGCTTCAGTTCCAGCTCAGGCTCTCAAAGGTGCCCAGGCCCCTACAAAGGCTCCAGAATAGATATCTTTGTCTGCCAATGTGAGGACAGAAGGACTGGTGTAACTCCCCTGGGGCTGCCATCTGCATGGGGCTGAGGTCCTCCTGTGCTATTTGTACAAATAAACCTGAGGCAGGATTAAAAAAAAAAAAAAAAAAAAAAAGATTAAGAACACAATTACTGGTTGTGCTCAGTGAAAATGCTTATTAAGGCAGCTATTATCATTACTCACTAGTTAAGTTTGGGGCTGAGCCTGGAGTCCTACTACTTTATCATGCTCCTCCACTTTTCCCTTTGCCGGCACTGGTTTGTGCTCTACAGTAAAAGAAAAGCCCATGGAACCATTCCTCTATCAAATGCCTGTGGCCTAACCCAAACTGCCAACATTCCCACCATCATTCACCACAGGCATCAGCTCTCCAACCTCCAACATGCTGCACAGGCTGGCACAACCTCCCTCCCACTCGCAGGAGCCTAGGCCAGGGAGTTGTTTATAAGACAAGCCGTTCGGAGGGGGGAAGCCAAGTATTTTGATAGGTAATCCACTTTCTAAACAACAACAGTGTACGTTAGGAGGCCAAGGTGGGCAGATCAGCTGAGGTCATGAGTTTGAGACCAGCCCTGAAACCCCATCTCTACTAAAAATACAAAAAATTAGCCCAGCATTATGGCGGATGCCTGTAATTCCAGCTATTCAGGAGGCTGAGGCAGGAGAATTGCTTGAACCTGGGAGAGGTTGCAGTGACCCAAGATCGCACCATTGTATTCCAGCCTGGGTGACAACAGCAAAACTCTGTCTCAAAAAAATAAAATAAAATAAAAAATAACAATGGATAAAAATCACGGAGGGAAAAAAATCTGTATATTTCACTAGTTAAGAATGTAAAATTTTGATAACAAAACACCATAAACAAAGTTAAAATAGTAAGAAAACACTAACACATGCATAGAAAAATATACCAGGAGCTGCGGTGGCTCCGGCCAGTTGTCCTGGAGCTTGAAGAGGCGAGGCTATGAGTTCAAGGCCAACCTGAGCAACATAAGAAGCTCTCGTTGATTAACAAAAAAAAGAAAAAGAAAAATATACCAACAACATAGACAAGTCACGAAAATTTTCTAGCCTAAACCTGAAAAAACAACTCCGTAATTTTAAAATGAAAATTACAAGATATTTGATATTTTCTATCAAATGACTAAAACTTTTACATTAAAATAATAGCACATAATATACTTGGTACATTGCAAGTGTTTCATTAAGTATTTGTTGTATGAGGAATGACGAAGTACATTAAAAGTTAGCTACTCCAGGCTGCTCATGATGGCTCACACCTGTAATCCCAGCACTTTGGGAGGCCAAGGCAGGAGAATCGCTTGAAGCCAGGAGTCTGAGACCAAGCTTGGACAACACTACAAGACTCCTGTTTTCTACAAAAAAACAAAAAATTAACCAGGCAAGGTGGTGTGTGCCTGAGGTCTCAGCAACGTGGGAGGCTGAGGCAAGAGGATAGCATGACTTCAGGAGGTCAAGGCTGCAGTGACCTATGATCGTACCATTGCACTTCAGCCTGGGTGACAGGCCCTGTCTCTAAAAAAAAAAAAAAAAAAAAACAAACAAACAAATAAAATGGCATCAAAAACATTTATGACACAATTGGGGGAAATCAGGATATAAGATTGTTTACAAAGTCTACAATGTCAACAATGTAAACAAGGCATGAGGAAGAAGCTCCTGGAATGAATAAACATTTACAGGAAGGATGCAAGACATGAAGGTAATATATAAAAGTTAACCATTTCCTATATACCAGCAATGAGCAATCTGAATTTGAAACTAAAAACACAATTTACATTAGCACTAGCAAAATAAAAGACAATAACAGATTAATAGGACAGAATAAATATCCCAGAAATAGACCCACAAACATATAATCAACTGAACTTTGACAAAGGAGCAATTGCAATTCAATGGAGAAAAAAACTGAATTTTTGATAAATAGTGCTGTAACAATTGGACAGTCACATGGAAAAACATGAATCTAGACACAGATCTTACACTTTTCACAAAAATTAACTCCAAGTGGATTTTGGACTAATGTAAAACATCACATTGTGACACTTACAGATAATAATGCAAGAAGAAATCTAGGTGACTTGGGTTTGGCAATGAGTTTTAGATACGACACCAGCAGCACAATCCAGGACACAGTAAAAATGAGGAATTGAATTTTATTAAATTAAAAACGTGTACACTGTGAAAAAACATTAAGAGAATGAGAAGACAAGCTATTGATTGGGATAAAATATTTATGAAACACATATGTGATAACTGGTATCCAAAATATACGAAGGATTCCTCAAATTCAACAATGAGAAAATAACCCAATTTAAAAATTGGCAAAAGATCTAAACAGATCCCTCACCAAAGAAGATAGCAGATGGAAAATAAGTATATGAAAAGATGCTCTATATAACAGGCCATCAGGAATTGCAAATAAAACCACATTGAGGGGGGAGAAAAAAATAAAAATAAATAAATAAAATAAAACAACATGGAGATGCCACTACATATCTATTAGAATGGCCCCAAAACAAGTTTTTTTTTTTTTGAGATGGAGTTTCACTCTTGTTGCCCAGGCTGGAGTGCAATGACGCGATCTTCATCTGCAACCTCTGCCTCCCAGGTTCAAGCGATTCTGCTGCCTTAGTCTCTTGAGTAGTTGGGGTTACAGGCATGCGCCACCATGCCCTGCTAATTTTGTATTTTTTATAAGTAGAGACCGGGTTTCTCCAAGTTGGTCAGGTTGGTCTCGAACTCCCGATCTCAGGTGATCTGACTGCCTCGGCCTCCCGAAGCACTGGGATTACAGGCATGAGCCACTGCGCCCGGCCTAAAAAAATGTTTTTAATATCAGTACCAAATTCTACTAGCAAGGGTGCAGGGCAGCAGTAACTGGTGGGAATGCAAAATGGTACAGCCACCTGGAAGACAGCTGAGCAGTTCTTACAAAGCTAAACACAATTTAGTGTAAGATCCAGCTTATACCCACACAAAGCTTACAAATGTTTATAAAGCAGCTTTCTTCATAATTGCAAAAAATCAGGCTGGGCAAGGTGACTCACGCCTGTAATCCCAGGACTTTGGGAGGCCAAAGCAGGCAGATCACTTGCTTTGTTGGCCAGGAGTTCGAGACCAGCCTGGCCAACATAGCAAAACCTCATCTCTACTAAAAATACAAAAATTAACCAGGTGTAGTGGTGCATGCCTGTAGTTCCAGCTACTTGGGGAGGCTGAGGCAGGAGAATCGCTGGAACCTGGGAGGCAGAAGTTGCATCACCGCACTCTAGCCTGGGTGACAGAATGAGACCCTGTCCCACAACAAAACAGAAGAGAATGACAATAACAATTGCCAAAGCCAGAAGCAAGCAAGATGTCCTTCAATAGGTGAGTGGAAAACAAACTGTTGTACATCTACACAATGGAATATTATTCATCACGAAAATAAAATGAGCTATCAAGCTACAAAAAGCCATGGAAAATCTTAACTGCATATTGTAGGTGAAAGAAGTCAATCTGAAAAGGTTACTTACTGTGTGAATCCAACTACATGACTTTCTAGAAAAGCAAAAACTATACACACAGTAAAAAGATAGGTTGCCGGGAGTTCAGAATGGAGGCAGGAAAAATGGGCAGTACGAGGGATGAATAGGTGAAGCACAAGTATAGGGCATGAAACTTTGGTTTGGTTTGGTCATCGTGGATGCATGGCATTTGCCTTTGCAACCCGCAGAAAGAGAATGACAATAACAATTGCCAAAGCCAGAAGCAAGCAAGATGTCCTTCAATAGGTGAGTGGAAAACAAACTGTTGTACATCTACACAATGGAATATTATTCATCACGAAAATAAAATGAGCTATCAAGCTACAAAAAGCCATGGAAAATCTTAACTGCATATTGTAGGTGAAAGAAGTCAATCTGAAAAGGTCATTCTGCCTTAAAACCCGCAGAAATACACAACAACAACAGAAATATGAACTTTGGCCAGGCGTGGTGGCTATACAGCTCCAGGCCCCAGCCCTAGTCTATCAAATTCCAGTATCCCAGTGTTGTATCGGACGAAGCACAGAAAGTCAACACCAAGACAAAAGTATGCCAAATTGCAGGCGACCATGGAGGGCT